TATTCGAGCTGAAGTCGGTCAGGCGACTTCAGGTCAGCGCGTCTGGAAGGGCTCGCTGCAAGGGGTGAATGGCCTTGAGGCAGCGAGGTCTTGAATAATGACGCCAGACCGGTCATGATGACTGGCCGCCACATGTCCTCTCCTCGCGTTTTCAAGGATTTTTTACTTGACGTTTTCTTGCAGGTCGCTCCCGAGATGTACTCCTTCTCGCAGACGCTCTTCGTTTCCCTCAGTTCGGGCTTCCAGGACTCCCTGCTTCACCTCGGCTCTGCTACGGTCACTGCAGACGAGAATCGTCGTGTGGAGACCCTGCATCTCCTCCTGTTGGGTCGTCTCTACCGTCGGCTGATTGAGGTGGCTGAATCGCTGGCCTCCTATCTTGTCAGTGAGGGGGGCCTCGCCAACGCAGGTTTCACTTCACAGCCGGACAGAAAATCGTCAGAGCAACTCTACCGTCTGGCTCGTCTCCACTTGGACCCCGTGTCTGCCAGTCTGGGTGTGGATCTCTTTTCCGCCAGCTTCGCTTCATCGCCTCAATCAGCACCAGCGGCTGCCAGCCTGTCAAATCTTGTGAAGTTGTTTGTACAGCAGAGTTTCTCCGCTGTCCGACAAGGTTGTCAAGAGGGATCTGCGTCGAGCAAGACTACAGGCAGTGTAAAGAGAAGTACTCGCTCTATGCCAAAACCCCAGTATTACCAAAAACTGGTCAGTGAGGCACTAGAGGACCGTATTCTGGATCTTGTGACTTGTTATTTCGCGCGAGCCCATCAGACTGCAGAGTCTGGCCAACTGCTACCGAGTAGGTCTTTGCTTTTTGTCTGCCTGTTTTTTTGAGGAATTCTGTTTACTTTTGTCAGCCAATACGCCCGACCCCGCCTCCGTTAATCTTGACTCTGTTTTGGCAGGAGAGTGCCGTAGATGCAGCGTAAGCCTACTATCCCTGGCAGTTCGACCGCAGCTTCTGAATTCTTCCACCGTGGCTTTACGAGGTGAAGCAGGCACGGTGACTTGCTCGCGATTTATTTCATAGTGATAGTAGACTGGCGCAGCATCTACCACACCCTCCCCGTCTCACCCACCTGCATCCGGTATCAGGACAGAGTCAAGAAGACAGGAGGCGAGGGAGGGTGCAGGTGGATGGCACAGTCTAGTTGGCACCTTGACACTCCACTCCACACCCCCCTGGTGCACACATCAAGTGACCAGAATTTTAGCCAACAACAATGGGGGCGGCAAGGGTCTCAATGTGCGTGATGTCTGCCGGCAACTGGGTTTGCCACTGCACCTCGAAACTAGTTCGCACACAAGTCACCGTCCGTGCGCCCGCCATGCTGCTGGGCACGCGGTGGACGTCATCGTTGGCGATGGTCGAACTAACGTGTGCCAGAATGGTATTACCGACAAAGACGAGGGAAACTGGAATGGCCATTTCTGGCTTATTAGCCGTCGTTAGCTAGCCAGCCATACCCAACCCCAAAGTGTGGAGCACCCGTCGGTAATACCATTCTGCCTATATATCATGCGCCGCTGTGCGGCTGCTGGTTGGGCTCGAGAGAGAGTCCATAAGGCACAACGGAACGAGTGAGTTCCGTAAGAACGATCGGTGAGCGCCCTCCACTGTATATTCCCGATCTCAACCGACAGGGCAACGGACTCGTGACCCAGTGGTTAGATGCGTGGACTTCTAACTAACAGGTCGCGTGTTCGAGCCTCGGGTGTGCCACACTTCGGGGTTGGGTATGACTGGTTGACGACGGCTAATAAGCCAGAGATGGCCATTCCAATCTCCCTTGTCTTTGTCGGTAATATCATTCTGTCTATATCATGCGCCGCTGTGCGGATGCCTGTTGGACTCGAGAGAGAGCCCGTAAGGCACAACGAAACAAGTGAGTTCCGTAAGAACGATCGGTGAGCGCTCCTACCACTAACGTGTGCCAGTTACTATCTACCACAGGCCTTGTTTGTCATTTGGGTGATAGGTTAACTGCTCGCGTCGACGGGTGTTAAGGTGTGTACACACAGACTCTTTATAAATCACTTCGTGGTCCCCCATATGCCTAGAACGTGGGAATGGGAGGAGGCAAGTTGAAATGCCGGAAGATTGATTCTGTTGGAGTTGATTAGACGTTAGTAAGTCAAACTTATGGATCCAGTCTTTACGAGCTGTGGGAAACCGACCCTTAAATTTATTGATCAGGCTTTATGATTCGTTGTCTCCCCTAAGATGATTGGGCACTTTCACTAACTGTTCGATCACAATATAACATGAAACCCCTCCTGAAAACCAAGCCTGTATCCAAACTCTGTGGTAGCGGATAGCATCCTCTTCGTTCCCCAGACCTTAGTATGGTCATTTCATCTAAAGAAGTTGCTTGCGATGTTTCAGTGGGAACCTTTGCTTGTTGTTTACTTCAAGAGGTCCCGTTCGCAAAGCAAGAGGCCGGAACGATAGTTTCTGGCCTACTCGTCCAAATCTCCCATCCTCATCTGCTCCCCAGCACAAATCTTCCGCAGATTTGTTTGCCAAATAATAATGCCTCCGACTCCTTTTTTCAGATCCCGCACTCCATCGACTGTACAGTTCTGTTCATGAGGAGGCCTTCAGTTACCTGGAATTGGCCAGCGGCACCCCGCGCTTTATTCAACGCTGTCTTTCCAAACTTGACCCGAGCTTGAACCCTGATCTGTGTGATTTGCCCTTCTTTGCCCTTTTTGCACCACCAACGGCCACCGGTGTTCGGTCGATTCAGGAGGCCTCAAGTCAACTGCGCCTTCTCAATTTCATCCTCCTACGTGGTAAGACTGTGCAGTCAAGTGATATATTAACCTTTAACGGCTTAACAGGGAGTGGATTTTCTTCACATCACTATTTTCTCTCTTTATTTCCTAACTGAATATTCAGACACGTTGGCGACACCATGTTTGACTACCATAGGTCTCCAAATCAGGGTTTGAGTAAAAATAATAGCCGCCGATAAAATGTATCACAAAGATAAACCAGCTACTTAGATTCAGTCAGTAGCCATAGTAAAATAATTTTACTCAAGCCCTCCAAATCAGATGGTTCTGTTTCATTAGACCCTAGTGGGTGCCAAAAGAACCTGAAGCATGCGTTTAGATGGCGTCCCCTTTTTCCTCTTCAACCACTTTGCCCTGACTTGATATCTCTAGTCTGCTTGCGTCGCGCTTGTCACTACTACAAGCTGCGCGAGGAAGTCGAGATTGCGCGCGAGATTTTCATGCTATAAACGTCTAAACGCGCTGTAACCTGTCATAACCAGTTGACAGTTGTGGCATGGCATGGAGGACTGCCAACTGACGGTGCATCTAGACCCCTCCTCTGATTAAGGGTTAAACTGCAAGGACTGCTCTTCCGTGATATGAACTGTGACAGTCCTCTTTAGTGAGAGATTTGGAACCGTGAACTCGTGAACGTTCATAGGCATGCGGTAGCATGGCTGCTGCATCCTATAAATACCGCAGCCCCTTGTGCAACAACCACCCGTTTCTGCTCTTTTGTCTCTGATGATGGATTCGAGTAGGAATCCGAAACGTCAGGCTAATAAAGCTCTTGTCCCGGCGATCGTGTCTCCTTCTTCAAGATTTGGAACTCTTGTTAACGGCTGTTTTATGAGCGACTAGGGATTACCATGTGTATGGCACGTGCATCGTCCTTGGTTTAGTTTTATCATTGGCTGCGCTCCCGCTTATCTGTCCTTGACTTTGTTTTGCAATTGAAACATGCTGTTTCCCCAGACATTAATGTTCCCCGGCCACACCACTTGATCCTCCTGTCTTTTAGTGTCTGACAGTCACTAATTATGTTCAGTCCACGGTGTTGGTGTAGCATGCTTTGTCCAATTTCTGTGCTTCTTTAAGTCGTCGTGAATTTATCTGCCGACTAGGACTATCAGGCACGAAAGGCCAAACCGATGCATGCTTAATGCGAAACCGCTAGTTGGCTGGGCCCACAAAACCGGCGTCGCGACTTCATCAGACATAGTCGGAGTAAAAGAAATGTGGAGTCTGCACAAGACTAGAGCCTTGTGTGGCATCATCCGACAGTTCGATCGTCGTGTCCGACGACGTCCACCCATGTGCTCCACTGCAAGGTAAGGCAGGCACGGTGGCTGGTGCGTGAATTAGCTTATAATGGGGGGGGGTAGACTTTCGAAGCATCTGTCGCACTCTGTCCCCCGCCGACTGGACCCGGTGTTAAGACGTAGTCAAGAAGACCGATGTCGGAGGAGGGCGCAGGTGGCTGGCACGGCCAGACCCGCACCTAGGCGTGCCACCAAACCTTCTGCTCCATAGCAAACAAAAACTTGATTAGGATCTTAACCAACAACAGAAAGGACACTGATGACTGGGCAGCCTGTATAATCAGCGGGAGCGCAAGCGCATCTACCGGCAGGGAACCAAGGGCCATAGAATTGCCAGTGCACACCAGACTGCAAGGGCCATGGTTCGTTAACCTTGGCATAGCAGACGCTTACAATCCTTGAGATCCAGACGACATCAGCCACTTTGTGTGAAGCCCGCAACCCGCACTGACACCTGAAAAGGTGGATCCGGCAAGGTTTACAAACTGGATGTCTCACGAACTTCGCAATACATGGGATATGTCAACGTCTGAAATCGTTATAATTTGTGATTGCATCCACCTATCTGCTACCTGGAACCCGCATTTTACTGCAATCACAAAACTGTCTAGTCAGTGGGTTGCCATAGTTGATATCTGTATATCGAGGTGTCTGGAGAATGTGTTGGTGCCACTCTCTCCGGTGTCCGTAGTCACGACAGACTTTTGTCTGACTGTTATTGGAACTCATTATTAGTCAAATTAACTTCCAGTAACCAGGACGCATTCTTCCCCACTCCCCTCAGCCATTAATCCTCCGTCGCACGAAGTCCTTTTCTCACAGTTGGCAGCCGCTGCTCTCCAGTCCTCCCTGACGGTTCCACAACCATCG